ACTACGGATCCAGCTGTGGTTGAAGAGATGAAGCTAAGCTGGGCAAGGTGTTACATCTACGAGGCTCGATTGGCTCAATCCAAGTACTTGGCCTGTGACTGCTTCACCTAGCAGATATGCATCACCTCCCTAATTTACATTACTTGATGGGACACCAGTCAAAAAGCTGTTCGATTCACGCCCGCATTTGTGTGCATGGCTGCATATCTCATCTAGACCAGCTTGGTCTAAGGTCGTTGCCATGCAGAAGCAATAGATATTTGGCATTTAGCCACTGCACACCACTTGACGGTCTCTTGTCTGTCATAATAAAGGCAGTGTTTTCGGGAGTTTTTTTTTTGTTTTTGGTGTGTGTCTTGTGAATATTGAAGCGTTTGTGTACTGCTTGAAGCTTGTATTGTACCAATTGTCTAAGACAACTATAGTTGTCGTACACTTTGGTTAATCAAACTTGTGGGACTAAGTGACTTGTGAGAATAATTATATAAAACAAAACAATATATGCCATCCGAATCTTGTATTTCCTGTAAACAGATGAATTACACTGATCTTGTAGGTAAAACGAGAGGAATATAACAATTGCCTTCCCGAAGACGATCTTACCGATTTTTATTTCCCATTTGGTAAATAGAAGTGAATTAAAGCAGAGTTCTAGTTTGTAAACACTGTCAACTTACTTCGTGTTGACAACACTACTATTTACCAAACTTGTTTTGACACTATTAATGCATCATCTGTGATGCGCTGAGGATGCAATTGAACAATCGAAACGGCTTGTATGATTCAAAATTAATACATCATTGCTTCCATACTTGCCGCGACTCTTCTTGTAAATGAACTAAAAATCTCTTGTCCAATATCTACCAATCCGGAATGGGGACAAGCACACCACCAAGGTCACTTCACAGCATTATACCCTTATTGCTCCATTTCATTAGAACCACCCAAACTGCTTCCTCGCTCTCTACCAAGAGCTAGCCCTTTAATATCCGCATTCGCGTAAGTTCAATCTTCTCTTTCATCCTTGGAAAGTCTTAATCCTTCTTCAATCCTCCCACATCTTCCATAAATATCAACCAACGCGGTACCACAATTACATCCAAATCCCATCCTCTCCTCTTTTTAAATCATGTCCAAATTCCCATTTCAATGGCACAGAAACTTGCACACGCATCCAGGCAATCACATGGGCTCCAGACCTGCGTCTGCGTATTGCATTTGTTCAGAAGTAATCAATGCATCATCATACTTTTGAACACTTCTATTGACTATAGGCTTATCAACACAATTCACGACCACAAATCTCTTTTAGTCATTCCTTCAAACACTTTTCGACACAGGTCCATCACCACATGATGCGCAGATATTCAGTAACGAAATTTGGACAAAATATCATTTACACAACTCATTTTACACGAGTATGCATAAGTCTGCCCTTTTCACAAGTTTGTTTCTTCTCCACTTTCATGGCACTGCTGCTACTACTTTTACTTCTACTATGCACCAAATATTACCCAAACATCGCCTTGGAGTATGGTGACAAGGGCACCCAGTTACATGCCCAGCATTTCATATGGACGGAGGCGGAAGCACACCAGTTCGAGCCTGTGGCATCAAAACTGAACTGGTAACTAGTATTTAAGCCAATGCTTGGCATGACTATTGATCCAGCTGTGGTTGAAGAGAATGAAGCTAAGCTGGCGAGGGTGTTAGATATCCACGAGGCTCGATTGGCCCAGTCCAAGTATTTGGCTTGTGATTGCTTCACCTTAGCGGATATGAATCACCTACCTCGTTAACATTACTTGATGGGGACACCAGTCGAAAAGCTGTTTGACTTACGCCCTCATGAGTCATGTTAGTGCTTGGGTTGCAAATATCTTATCTAGACCAGCTTGGTCTAAGGTTGTTGCCATGCTGAGAAATAGATATTTAGGCATTTAGCCCCTGCATATCACTGGACCACCACAAGATATTTGTGTACTGCTTGAAGTTTTTGTTGAATCTACTGTGTAAGACAACTATAATTGTCTTCCGTTTTGAGATAATAAGCCTATGTGGAGATTCAAACTTTGGCACAAGTGACTTGTGAGATTATTTATAATAAACATCATAACAGAACAGAATTTGTCTTTCCTGTTAATAGCCTGAATTATACTTATATTTGTATGCTAAAAGAGAGATCTCCCAGGAGGGATCTAATAGATTGCCTGCTCAGAGACAGTTCTTACCTATCGTATGTCCCACTGGATAACAGATAGTAAAAAGCAGAGTTAAACTTTTCGAACGTCATCAACTTACTTTGAGTGATACTACAACTATCTATCAAATCTTGCTTTGACACTTTAAAATAGTTATTAACTGTGATAACTTAGGATGTTATTTAATGGTTGAAACGTAGAAATGGATTGTAGGATTCACAAGCAAATCCATTGCGTCCATACATGCGGCAACTCCTTGTTAGGTATTAATGCTTGATATGAGTTAATAAGACATTCCTCTCAATGCAGTCTGTGATGAGTAGATTAGGGACCTCAGCATCGAAAGATACTGCCAATTAAGTTGTTACCTTGACTTAAGTACAGAACAATACAACAACTCTTCTCAATCGATTTCTCTCTACATGCAAATGCAAATGGAATTTATCATGCAAAATTCCAATAGTCTACAGTTAATAAACATTTCCTGCAGTCCATTCTACCACAAAACAGGTCCTCCTTCGTTCCCCTCTTTTTCTTTAGAAGCAAGACAAGTGATTTGACATTTATTTCTCAGATTTCACAATCATGCCCTGAAATTCAGATTATATACTACAAAAATTGCGCATTCTTTACCGGAGGGAATGTGATTAGTTCCCACTTAATTTGGGTCAAATGCACAAATACTTATCATATCAAAAGATTTCAAATCATTATCTGTAAATGAGTACCTTTTGCAGTGATGATGCTGATAATTGATCAAAGGTTGAAATAGGTTTTCTTCAATTCAAAAATACAAATGGACATGCTTCAATGCTTCCTATAGGCAGTAACAAGAACAAAATTGACCAATCAGCTGGATGCTGGGAAAGCAGAAACAGAACATAACCCCTTTATAGTAACTGTAGGTGTCCACTTAATTAGCCAATAAATCTAAACAACTCCTCTACTGAAAGAAAACCTATTACTTTGTCTCTGAATGAATGAAATGAGACTAGCTTATTGTCCGATAGTTCATAAACAATTTCCTGGGGTCCTGTCTCTAGAAAACTAGACCCTAGGTCCTTCTTCAGTCCCCCTGACTTTCATCAACTCCCGGACCTTTCCAGCATCACTCCATCTTCCCATCTGTGCATACAGATTAGATAACACACACATAATAAGCACTATTATCTGGCTCCAATTCCAAAAGCTTCTTAGTGACAAACTCACTCAATTCCAAACTCCCCTGATCTCTGCATCCAGCACAACGATCCCCACATAGACTTAGTAGGCTCAAAAGGCATTTCTGTATAAACTTGAAAGCATCTTTAAGAAAACCAGCTCGTGCAAATAGGTCAATCATGCACGCATAATGTTTCACACCTGGTGAAATCCATACTTCCCATCACAATGAACTAAAAATCTCTTGCCCAGTATCTACCAACCTGAGTGGCTACAAGCACAAAGCACGCTAACCAAGGTGACATCATCGGCCTTATATCCTTCTTGCTCCATTCGATTGAACCACCAAACTGCCTCCTCTCCGCTCTTAACAAGAGCTAGCCCCTTAATAACCGCATTCCACGTAATTTCATTCTTCTCTTTCATGCCTTGGAAAACTTTTAACCTTCTCAATCCTCCCACAGCTTGCATACATATCAACCAACGCAGTCCCCCAATTTACATTAATTCCCACCGTCTCCTCTTCATAAAATCAGTATCCAAATACCCATTTCAATGGCACTGAATTTTGCACACGCAGCCAGGCATTCACCATCGTAGCACAACTATGCTCCACACCTGCGTATTGCATTTGCTCAAAAGCAATCAATGCGTCACCATACTTTTTAACAATTCTATAGCCCGTAATCAATGAAGTCCACGACACAACATCTCTTTGAGTCATTTCTTCAAACACTTTCCGACACAAGTCCATATCACCACACGATGCATAGACATTCAGTAACGAATTTTGGACATAAATATCATTAACATGACCCAATTCCACAACGTGGGTATGCATCATCTGCCCTTTTCTAAACTCCTTAAAGTCAGACAAAGACTTGAGCACAAAAGGAAAGGTGTAGTTATTAGGCAAAATTGAGTTTTTGAGCATGTCGGTGTATATTGAATAAGGGATGTAAGGGGTTTGGGAGTGACAAAATGCTCTAATGAGAGAGTTGCAAATGAAAACATGGGGTTTATAGAGTCGGCGGAAGACATGGTGGGCTGTGTTTAAGAGGTTTAGAGACTGGCAAGCAGTTATAAAGTAGGAGGCAATTGTTGAGTTATAATGATAGTTTTGGAGCATCATTTGAGCTTGAATTTGGTAAATGTGATTAGGGGAAGTGCAATTGGTTAAGAAATAGATAATCCTGCTAGGTATGATGCTAAGCTGCGGCATCACTATCATGGGTAGATTGCAGATCCTTCAAATTTCAGTACTTTGAACTGTCAAGACATCTGCTTGAAGAGTGAAGATGTTCTAAACCCCTGCCAATTAGAGGTGCAAAGATGCTCTAAATCCAAAAAAATAAAAAGGTGTTCTAAACTCCTGCCAATCAGAAGTGCGGAGATGTTCTAAACCCCCTGCCAAGGAAAGAGTGGAAGATTTCCGAGACCTGTCCCAAAAAAAAAAAAGCGTAAAATTAAAAATAGTAAAAGTTGCGCATCCGGGGAATCGAACCCCGGTCAGTACCGTGGGAGGGTACTATGATACCACTACACCAGATGCGCTTTTCGTGTGAAAATTTTCTAGTTTATTATAATTAAATAAGGCTACTGGAAACCATTAAAAAAGGCGAAGGTAACAGCAAAGGCGGAGACAACAAGAGGGGGAAAATGAGACTAGTAGGACTGACAGGCGGAATTGCATCGGGGAAGAGTACGGTCTCCAACCTCTTCAAGGCCAATGACATACCCGTTGTTGACGCCGACCTCGTCGCTCGTGTAATTTCTGTTCCTTTTCATTCTCATTCTTACTCTTCACACACGCTGAACCTCATTAACTTTCTACTCTATGCTTTATTTTTGTGTGTTTAATTATCTTACTCAGGATTTTAAGAATTTATATTACAGTTTTAGTTCTCGATTTTTATATTGTTGAAATACTGTAATTTCAATTACAAAAAACTTATACAAAATTTACAAAAAAAAATCGGGAAATTTGTGAAGATTGAATGATCTTGATTTGTATTGCAGGATGTATTAAAGAAAGGCACCGGTGGTTGGAAAAAGGTTGTTGCAAGTTTTGGAGAGGAGATTTTATTAGCTAATGGAGAAGTGGATAGGCCAAAACTAGGGCAAATTGTATTCTCTGATCCTGGCAAGCGCCAACTTCTTAACCGGTATCGTTTTATTTGTTTGTTTGTGTCCAAAACAAAGTTTTAAAGGCTGCTCATTGATTCTGAATTGATGTCGTGCATACATGGTAATATGACCGTGAGTCAGTGATCATAGTCTTTTGTGTCATAACTATTCTTTTTTCTAAAGGATTAATTGTTTTGATTGTAATTATGTGGGGAATTCATTGCCATTTAATTTTTTTATATTAATTGAATTCTTATATCAATGTTTGGCTTCAAATTGCAATTGTCTAATTTGTAGTTCTCCTTGGTGTTGAATGGTGTAATGTCTATTAGGATTAGTTTCAGCTGGGATTGCTTCAGTTAATTAAATTCATAATCATGTGAGGGATTATTGAGAACTTCTGTGGCAATATTAAGCAAAAAGTGAAATTTTCTACTGATCATGGAGCCATACATTTGAATTTCTGGTCTTTTTATTTGGCCTTGTCTTAGTGAGATAAAGGAATTTTATTGCATAAAAAATACTACGTTTACAAACTCTTCTCATAAATATTCTCTTACAACTTGACGTAATACCATGCGATTGGTTAGCTCGCAAATGGGCAGGTGGGATCAGTAATGAGACTAAACAAAAAAGAAAAAAAAAAAAAGGATTGTGGGAGAAAGTTTGTGAGAAGATGTTGTGAATATAATATTACTCTTATTGTATTCCTGAAAGATGTTATATGATATTATTTATCTGTTTTTGGTGGGTTTTCTTGATAATGCACTGTCAGGGGGTTCCATCAATTATTTGTTACAGAATTCCAAATTTTCATCAGTTTTCATCGTTTTGTAGGATATTGGCTCCTTATATCTCCTCTGGCATCTTTTTTGAGATTCTGAAGCTGTGGATAAAGGGATTCAAGGTTATCGTTCTTGATATACCTTTGTTATTTGAGGCCAAAATGGATAAGTGGACGAAGCCCATTATTGTTGTATGGGTTGATCCTGAAACACAACTTCGACGGCTTGTGGGAAGAGACGGGACAAGTGAGGAGGATGCCAGAAATAGGATAAATGCTCAGATGCCATTGGACATAAAAAGGAGCAAGGCAGATATTGTGATTGATAATAATGGATCACTGGATGATTTGAGTGAACAGTTCCGGAAAGTATTATTCCAGGTCACAAGACCCTTGACATGGACTGAATTCTGGCTTTCGAGGCAGGGAGCTTTTTCAGCTCTCGCTTCTGTTATTGTAGGTGTTCTTATATGCAGAAAGACTTTTAGCAACTTATGATTATCTCAAACTTATAAAACTCAAGATTTTTCATTGTAATTTAATCTAAAACTATTTGCGGTTCATTCCAGCAGGTTTTATCAATTAGTAACTCTTGGCATTGGATCCTAAGTTCTTAAATGAACTTTTTTTAAAATAAATAAATGCGATACTGCTGAATCATTTCTTTGTAAGTGGGTAGATGTTAATGAGGTTCATGTGGGAATTTGAAAGATTAAAATGTTGTATCTGATCTGACCAAGAAAATCTTTTGAGGATTGAAATATTTTGTTGTGGTAAGTCAATTACCGAAGTTAGCAACTGAAAACATTTGATGCAACACTTGGCCGGAGCATTAATAGGAAAGAGTACTACTCCACACTGACCTGAGACTAATTTTATCGAAATACTCTAGTTTTTATTGGTTTTTACATAAGAGAATCATCCACAGGTAGCCATTTTCGTTACCGCTGTACCCTCAGCAGCTGGTTCAGTTGGTCGAATCCAAGTTGGATTTTATTTAAAACCAGTTGATTTTAAAAAAATTCCTTTTGTTGGAAAGTAAAAGGATTGTTGTTCCAGTTCTAAGTGATCCAAGCGATTTCAAAGTCATTACAGAATGTGGGATGAGACTTTTATTAATTTCTTTTTACAATTTGGTTGACTGTTCTATATACTTTTAACGATATGAAAAGAAAATAAAGCAATAAAGATTGGTAGTGGCAAGTGTTGTCACTTCTCAATTAACTTGTAAAAGCCATTGGTTTATTCAAAGCTAGATAGAATGGTTAGTGGTAATATTTTTGTTTTCTTCTCTTTTGCTTGATAATGTTGATTGCCATCTTTTTCGAATTCTGCTTTTGCCTTATGGAGGCTTACCACTGGATAGCATTACCAGATAACTACTAGTACGTAGTTGCTGCTTCATTTAATAAACTGTTTTTTCTAATATCGCCCGGAGTTGGCAAGCACCTTGGTGGCTCTAATATTATTCATTACACCAATGCCGCTGAGTTTGACGTTCGCATTTGGTTATGTTTTGCCCTGAAAGAGAACTTTTATCAATTAATATAAGTTGAATCTATGTTGAAAGTGATAAGGAGTAAAGCTAACAGAAGTTTAACACACAATTCGCTGTTTTGAGTTTTGACTTTGATCCACCTTTCTTTTACAGTAATACAGAAGTATATGCTGAATTAATGATTTTCATCTGCTACTCAGGCCTCAAGGTAACAATTTAATTTGGTAGATTGGTGTGACCTTCTTATGGAGTCTCAGCCATAAACTCAGACGGCCTGAAACTAAACTGTCACCCGCAGACATAAATTTAGCCCCAAGAGCAATCTGAAACATGTCTGGTGCTGTTGTGGAGTTCAACAACCTCAGGTAAAATTGGGTGTCGTTTCATTATTCAGGCTAATCAGTTACTACTCGACGTCTCTCGAGAATAGAATACTGATACCTAAACTATACAGTAATGACTACATAGTCTGCGGGAAAATACCACGATAATGGTCAGTTTTCTTTTTTCCACGCAAACAATAATTTCACAAAAATGATTGATTGGTTGGATTACTATAACTTTCTGACGAATTAGGTGGAATGAGATTAAAATGACCACACTTGGATTGCTGCTTTAATTCAGAGTAGACGACATTTCCACCCAAGGTTTGCGAATCTTCCAAGTCCCACCCCTATTTCATAAATTACAGGATTCTCATCCTTAAATTAGTGTCGTTACTTATGTCTTTACAATAACCCCTAACAATCCTCAAATTTTCTCTCAAATCAACCCCCAGATATCCCGGCCAAGCAGAATCCGCTTGATTCCGGCCCATTGGACTTCCCGACATCACCATTAGCCCCCCGTATCCTCCCACCAAAACCCCTAACTTTCCACCTTGATTGCACTTCGGTGAGTGCCGGAATTTGACTAGAAAGGGAACGAAAAAATGCAAAAACCTAAGGGAGAGGCGATGGCGACCAGTGTGTAGTGCAAGTGGAATGTTGGGGGGTTTGGTGTGTGGTGGAATTCGATGATGCCATTGATGGTTTAGGGGTGGTTTCGTGATGTCGGGACTTGCCGGCTTTGGATAAATGATGATTGACATAAAAAAGCGACGGCTAGTGATTGAGAGTTCAATCAGGCATGGAGGTGAGGGCTTTAAATTTATGGTTGAGGAGATTTTAAATGGTAGTGTTCAGAGGGGGGTCGATTTTGTTGAAAATAGGTCGAAATTGCCTAAAATTGCCGATGGGGTGAATTAGAGAAGTGAAGGGTTATTTTGAAATCTTTTAGTGGGGTGAATTTGAGAAGTGAAGGGTTATTTTACAATTTTTATTTTTGAAATGATCCTCTTATCCTTTTAACTGTTAGATTAAACAATTGTCTATTAATTTAAGGGTGGAAATTGTAATTTATGAAATCAGGGGTGGGAACGTAGATTCGCCAAACCTTGGGTGGGAAAATGTCGTTTACTCTTACTTCTATGATGGTGAGGAATTTGAATGCGCTAGTCCTCTACTCGTATTTTTATTTTTTTTGGGTTTTTTTATAATAATTATTAGCCAAGATTTAAGAGTCCGGAATCCCTTTAAAAGACACGAAATTGCCTTGGCCTTTTCAGACTCGTTGAATTTTGACGAACACTTGGATTCCCTGCCCCAGTTGTCTGTAATTACTGAAAGTAGGAGAAGCCCATCAATGGGAGGGTTTACTCTTTAGGGCAACTGACACAACAACGTTGGCTCAGGCTGAGAACATTAATGTAAAAGAGTAATGTAACTTGCAAGTTTATATAACATTGGCAGATTATAATTAACCTTAATTGAACTGAGTTAATAGAGACTGAGGATCATGGAGGAACATAAAAGCCCTCTGATTTTTGTGAAGTTACTGGATAAGAGTTTTAATAATCATCCTATTAGTAATAGGAGACTTGAACTCAAAAACTCGTGAAACATTCTTTTATATTTTTATCATCAAACTATCCACTTATGATTAATTTATAATTATCATGTTAATTACTAATTTTATTCGAATATTTAATGATTTTTTTGTTTTTAATGTAATTTGATTTGGGCTGGAAATACCTATATAAATATTATTTAGGAATAATAAATAAAATCTAACCACAAGGGTTCATGCTCTCGCTTCCATTACTTCTTGGATTCAAATTTGGTGGCTACCTAGCTCAGTTGATGCTCTAATGTACTATTGATAATTTAAAGAATGTGATGTCTCACTCTCACCCAGTTCAATTTGATAATTTAAAGAAAAATGTCTCTTACCAAATGGATCCCACCATGAAAATGGTTTTTTAACTCCATTTTATTTACTTTCTTATCTGCCTAATACACATTTAATTGTATTAATCATTTCCTTAATGAATGGGACGTTCTAATTTGTTCTCCAATAAACTTTAAATTCAATTGTACTCCAATTCAATCTTTAATTAACTTGAGTATAAATAACAAGTAGGATTTTGATCTTCTGTTTATTTAATCTTTTAAAAATTAGTTAAATATAATAAAAAGAGATCCCATCAGGATGACGTGGCATGCGCACCAAATCCTTTCTCGTTCTTTTTATTAAACTATTACTCACTTGCTTCATTCCTCTTTAAGACTTTAACCTTTGCTCAAAAACTCAAAGCTTTCCATTTCCTTTCTCTCCACTTTCAAGCCATTAAGCTCTCTCTCTCTCTCTCTCTCTCTCTCTCTTTGCGACATGGCTACAAAACCAGCTGAAGAAACTTCACAGCCACTGAAATACCAGGTGAGTTGTATCTTCTTAGTAATATTCAATTGTACAAAAACACTTCATGGCTTTCTCTCTTTAACTCAAATCTCTATTGTGTTTTACAGACATGGGTCTTGAAAG